CTGTGATAATATCAACGTAGTGCATGAATGTATGACTGTCAAAGCAGTTTGTGTAGATTATGGGGAAAAGACATTTTTGTTTTCTCCAAAATGTCAGTAATTGTACTTGCCACTGTCTGACAGTTGGCCTGAAGTTTCCTGTGTCTATCATGCCTGCTTATCTGTCCTCTGATATAATCAGTCATGTTTGTCCAGCTCACTGAGTCTGTGACTTTCCAAGACAAGATTACAAGATTCCATTTTAAATTGGCCCTACTGTATTCTCGAGAAGGGATTTTTTTGGTTTGGTTTGTTGTTCATTTTGGGGTTTTTTTTGTCTTTTTTTTTTTTTTTTGCAGGGAGGGTGGTGGTGTCTTTTTTTTTTTTTTTTTTTAAAGCTTGACTTGATTGCTTTAATACACATTTTTCTTGGATATTTAGCTTGTTTCAGTGATTCCAGTATTATTGGGAAGCAGATGGATCTTCTCTCCTGGTATCTTGCCATCCTGACAGAATGATGGATGTAAGCACTCGAAAAATCTTTATCTTATTCTACATTGTTCGTAGATGTTTTCTAGCTCCTGCTTTGAAACTGACACACATCTCGGGTTACACTTTGTATGGTTCTTCGGAGCTTTGTGCTTTCATCAGGTTGAACATTGCACATACTCATTCAGCTACTACATCTCACTTTGTTTCTGACTTTTTTCCCTGTACTTATACATAGTATAGTACATATACTCATGTATATATCAAAGCTCCAAGACTGCTGTGGAAAAAATGCCTTTTTTGGCTTGAAAATACTAATCAAACTTTTCACATACACAGGCGACTGTCAAACATTCCTTTTCAATTTAGTGTGTCAGTTTCCTTCCAATGGGTAAATTGCCTTCTGATTGCTGCCTATGATAAAAAACCCCTAGATTTGTACATGAGAAGAGAGCAGTGGATGTCATGCTTCAGCAAGGTTTTGAACGCTGTCTACCGCAGCATTCTTGTATCCAAGTTGGGATATTATGGTCTTGACTGGTGGAAAATAGGTTAAAAAAAAAAAAAAAGACCAAAAAAAAGACCATCTGGACAACCTGGCTCAGGCTAGAAGAGAAGACTTCAGAGAGATCTCATAGCAGCCTGCAAGTACCTGTGAGGAGGTTATGAAGATGACAAAGCCAGGCTCTTCAGAGTGGCACATAATGGGAGGATGGGAGACAAAGAACGTAAGGTGAAACAAGAGAGATTCAGACTGTATTCAAGGAAAAGCATCTTCATCATATGGAAAATCAAGCACCAGAACAGGTTGCCCAGAGAGGTTGTGCCATCTCCATCCTTGGAGGTTTTTAAGACCCAAGTGGATAAAGCCCTGAGCAATGTGACCTGCTCTCATAGCTGACCCTGCTTAGAACAGGAGATTGGACTAATAACTTACTGTGATCCCTTTCAACCTGAATTATGGTCCTAAGGCAGTAAGAGCCCCACGTCAAGCAAAATTTTACTGAGTTTTACTCTGCTGGACTTTCTAAGTATACAGTGAGATTGTTTGTTGTCAAATACAATTTCTTCCATACTGTTACAAAATTCATACAGCGGGTTCTATTCATACTGGATCAGAGACTGTGCTTATTATTTGGCATGAATCTACGAGGCAATGTGCAATATGTTGTAGGTTACCATTAATTTTCACAGTGCCTTGGAGAAACAGTAAAAATTAAGAGGGTGTAATTCCATTAAGTGCAAGTTTCTGCATGTGGGCGGAAAGAATCACCTATGAAAAACCTAGATGAGATATTAAGTAGGGTTTCTTCAGAGCAGTATCTGAAATTAACAAGGAATCACAAATCAAATATGAATAAAGAAATTCATGCTAATATTAAGAAGGCTAATTTTTCTTAATAAAGGTATCCTCTGCAAGACACAAATTATTTCCTCTTTTCCATTCAGTACTGATAAGACACCAAATGCAGCATCGTGTCTAATTGGGAGCACTGTGGTTCCAGAGAGATTTGGACCAAAAGGAGTTATTTGATTGAATTCTCATGGTTTATCTGAACACAGATAAAAGCGACGCATAAGAACAAATGTCTAGAAAACATCTTCCGTGAGGAAAAGTTGAAGAAATTGGAGGTAGAAAGGCTACAGAACACAAGACTAAGGCATGATCTAATAAACCTTCTAGTATGTAATAAGCAGTTTAACAGAGGAATGGAAAAATTTGTTTTCCTTCTCTGTTCTGTACAGGACAAAATGACCTGGGCCCAGGCTACACCAAAGTTATTCAGGTTTGATATGAGAAAGAAATTTCAGAGTAAGGACAACAAAGTAATACAGTAGGTCATCACAGGCAAATAAAGAAATTCCCTTTATTGGGAATTTCTACAGACAAGCTGCATAAATACCTGTCAGAAATTAGGCAAATGCCACTGACACTACCTTAGGGAGAGGAATGGATGGATGACTCAATTATTTTCTGTGATTCTACGAGTAACATCATCTATGAAATCAATCCTTTTGGTTTCTCTTAATATAACATTGCAGGCGGCACTAGTATTCTTTTTTTTCTATAGGCTTGACTCCAGTTATGTACTGGGGTATCAGCAGCTATGGACTGGTGTGCGACATGGTGGTAGATTGTTGCTTTCCCAATTCAGTACTTGCCAAAGTTTGTATTAGGCACCAAGTACTGAAAATAACTTTGCTTTTATGAAATTAGGTTTACTTCAGTTGTAGCCAAGTTTGAGTACTTTGTCTATTTACACAGACAAACATTTTGCCTGGCTTTTCAAGAGTTATTATGGATGCTACCTAATATATGAATTACACAATTTTAGCAAGTCTAAAATCCATTTTTTATTTCCTCCATTTGCTTTGTCTTATTCACACCAACAAAACTGAGAAGCAGGTATTCTATATATTTCCACGTATCACAAACTTGGCAAACCTTACTCCTTCAAAAATAGGATTTTAAAATTTTAGAGGCTTTTCTCAATGCAACATATTGTATTGTCTGTTCCTGGTGAAATTTTCTGGTGCTCACATTTCTATTATGTGAACAATCATATGATTATTGTTATTAAATTTAAAGTTTTTAACTGAAAATTGAGTCTTCTGGTTATCCATGGAGCCTGGTGTGTAGAGTAGACCCTGCTATTTTCCTGCAGCATTCGACAAGTAATTTACATTGTCCTTAATAGTATTATGATCTTACCACTGTATAATTTCAGTTCAACTTTTTTTTCTTGAATGTAATTCTGTTTTCTTCCCTTGAAAAATACTAAAGGATTCTTTGAATCCTAGCACATTCACAGATGTCCCAGTATCTACTTGGCATTCAATTTCCTGTTTCTGTGCTGTGTCTTTACATGTGGTGGTACTCTACATTTTAGAAACCAT